TCTTGTCATCACGTTTGCTGTAGTTGAGCCTGCAACAACACAATTATTTGAAACTAATAATTACCATGTAAATTAATCTTCAAATAATAGGTTTACTTAATGTGCTAAGACAAAAAGTAAACACTTATAAAATTAACAATTATCGATTAAATATCAAGATCATTTATTGAGGCCCGAGCACACTAAATGTAGTGATAAAATTAACAATTATAAATAAATTATCAAAATCATTTAGATTTGAGTTTTCTGAGACCTGAGCACACTAAATGTACATTCTAAATGCAACTTCCAAATATATATTAAATTTTTTTAAAAATTTAGTGATTTGTGTTGCATGGGTAACAAGAGAACGATTGCAAAACCAGAAAGTTGACAAACCTACCTTGGCTAAGATAATACTTATCACACACAATCTTTGAAACAATTAATAGTGAAGGGGTTATCATTATTAGTAAATAATAATGATGGGTAATCTGACCCTGAATTTAGTATATTTTAATCTCCAAATATTTATGTTCTGTGACATACAAAAGTTATGGTATAGCAAAATTAATTAAACACCTTTGCTTACCTGACTGTTAAAATCAAACCTGTAATTAAAAAGGAAACCACAAGTTTCAACAAAATTTGTAGACTAATTTCAAAATTATAATTGATTACAAAGTTGAAAATCGTGTTTATTAGAAAAAATTACCTTGCATTTGATTTAAAATTTTCTAATTTACCTGCTGCTGCTGCCACCCACATCAGATCTCCTCTGATACGAGGATGACGATGAGGTTGACTCGGAGGACGAGGACTCGGAATCAGAGTCGGATGAGTCAGACGAGCTCGGCGAGTGACGGTGAGAACGACTCTGGAAGAAATTGTAATGAAATAATACAAGGTTGTTCCAGTATAATTACAAATTATTCTCAAACAGTAAATTACCCCAGTGAATTTTTTTGACAGAGGCAAGATATTATACAACAATGGGAGGCTTTTCTGAAAAATCATTTCAATTGAAGGGAGAAAAATTGAGATTTTTTCTCAATAAAAATTAAAATCATCCTAATAAATTAAAAATATAATCACCCTAGTAAATTAGGATGATTTTATTGTCAAAATTAGGATGATTTAATAATCAAAAATAAAATCATCCTAGTATTTTTCACACATTTCATTTTGACCATTTCAAAATTTGCCTGATTCTGAAGGTTCCAAAGTTAAGCAAAATCTGTCAATCAAATTTTCTCATAGATACCTCAAAATTCTTAAGAAATAATATGAATAAAACTACATTTCCAACCGGTGTGTTGAGTCACCCAGAGGCAGAAATAATATTTATCAAGGATTTTATAGATATAATTAGACTTAAAAATATGATTTCAATGGAAAGGTGGCAATCCAGTGTGGCCTGGGACTGCTACATCCAAAACACTAATGATACAAAAAGTAATGACAAACGCACCTTTTTCTCAGGAGCTACAACCGTGCTGCTATGGTGGTAGTGGTGCCGCGGATCACTCGACATAGTACCAGAAGCTGGTTTTGTTCACTTTTCTACCTTAATATGAATACCTACTGGAACAATAATAGAAATATAGAAAAAATATTTTTCATGTTTTAAAAGTTCATAAAGTTTCTCAATAATTTTACTAATAATATTGAAGTAAAAAATAGGTATAAATAGTATAACTAACATGAAGCCTAAAAAGGCTTTTATATTTGTACTTACCAAACAGCGTAGCAAACTAGAAACTATTTCAGGGTAGGGAAAATTCAGAAAATTATCAGAAATGTTACTTTGGGGCAGCAATATTTCAACATTAAGTAGGAAATTTTTAATCTTAGTGGGAAATGGTAACTCCAAGTCAACATACCAATTTTAATGAGACATTCCAGTGTTCCACAGAAGCTCACAGACACATTTTATGACCAATGAGGAATATTGTACATTCCTCCCCATTCCTCTAGCCCTTGCCTAATTTATAGTGTAAATTTGAAGAAAAATGATATATTTATATTTCTAATATATATTCATATTTTTAATACATATTTATAATTAATTTTATTTACATAATTTATTTACAGTTTTTTATTTACATAATCTCATCTGAAATGATAGTTTAATCTATAATTATTAGAAAAAACTGCCTAATATTCTATATTGGCAAATGAAGAAGGAGTTTGCCAAGTCATAGAGTTGGAATACTGGGCAGAATTTTCAAAAATTTGCAGATAAATAAGATAATTTCATGGCTACCTTCTTAAAATTATCTTCTGAAACTAACTAGAAAAATTACATTGGTTTTCATAATTTTGATTAAAGAAATTGGTCAAGGGCCATAGAAACCAGGATTGCACTGGGTATCTTGCCAGGGAGCTAGAGGGCTTGGTTTTTTTACTTGAAAAACCTGGGTTTTTCAAAAAATCCTGTTTTTTTAAATCCCAAAGTAAAAAGTGGATTTTTAATATAAATACAGGTAAAGAATGCATCAAAATGACTACACGTTTGAATTTCAGAATGCAATAATACTAGATAGAAGCTACCAAAAATACACCTATTAAAGTACAAAAAATACAAATAAACCCCTAAAAAACTCACATTGATTGGAGTTCTGAAAAAATCCTGTAGTATATTCTAAAGTATCAAAGCTATTACTTTGTCCCATAACCTTCTCCACAGTCATGCAAGAGCTATTACAATGTCATGAAATATCTTCTTCATATCAAAGCCCATTCTGCAATTTTTGCATTCATGTCTAAATTTTTGGCTGCTTATTCAGTAATTTTTTCACTTCATTGCTAGAGAAAAAAACTTCCTAGAAGTTTTTTTAACAATCTTATGTTAGCCCTACCTAAACTGTAGATTTTATATTAACTTGAACTTAGATTTTAATTTAGTTTACATACTTTAGTTTCTCAATGTGAAATATAAAAAACCTAAATTAGTCCTAGAATAATGTTTATTTTTATAATGATATTTACACAGACATATAAAATGTTTTGTAAGACTAATTAAAGACTATTACTGCAATTTTGACTTTTTTTGTTCATTAACTGAAAAGCGCATTATACAAGTGATAAGAAAAATTAGTCATTAATAAAATGCTAGTCTTGACAATGGAAAAAGAGGAGAATAGTATAAAGAATTTTGTCTGTTGAGTCATTTAGCCACTTGATATTTTGGCTCCTCAAAAAGACTCAAATCTTAAAATACTCAACAAAAGAAATACTGGCAATGAAAAAACCTGGCAAGCCCTAGGCTAAGGGCAAAGACAATTCATTGTGTCAAAGAAGAACATTATTTGTTGCACTTCCTCAAGTTCATTTTTGAGTCCTATAAGCATACTAGGGTAAACGCGGTATATTCCAACATCGTAGGTAATTGCGTCACTTCTCTAGTTTTTCCTTTATATTAAGCTTTGTTTTAGTTCCATGCGTTCATTGATGGTTGAAATGGTGAGTTGGTGACGTCATACATTTGCGTGTCGAAATACTGCAAAAACACTAGGTCTTGGCCATCTAGTGGGAAAATATTGAGATCCAAAGAGAGACAATGCATGCCACCTGGTGAGATCATCAAAAAATGTGTCAAATTTGACAGTTGACCTTGCTCTACCAAATAGTGAATAACTGTTTAAATATGGCAACATTTTGTGACGTTTCATTGTTGCTGATGCGTAGTGAAGTGTTTTGAGAGTCACGTGAATGCAACAGAACTTACGTAACGCATACGGTTTTTTTTATAGTCTTTCATTTCTTGATGCGTCCTTAATGTGTCAGAATATACCGCGTTTACCCTAGGTCAAGTATTTTGATTTTTGAATACCAGTATTATCATACACAAGAACCTTATAAAAATATTGAGTACTTCAGTACTAGAGACGGAAATTGAACCAAGCCTAAAAAATCTCTGGTTTGCCCATATCTCCTTAAATTCCACTGATTAGCCTACCTACTAGGCTACTACTAGTCTACTACGTCCTACGAGAGTGACGAGACGAGTTATGACTATAATAAAAGTGATTGTTGTAGTAACCCGTGCCATTACTGCCATAATTGATTTAGTAAAAAAATATAGTTTCTGTTTAGTGTTTACACAAATAGCAGCTCAACTATTCTATCCTTTACCGCACCGGCCATCCCTCAGCGGAATGAATCATGTAACTGAGAAAAATTTTTTGTTTGTTTGATGCTTATTGGAGCTTTGGAGACGCATCCATGTAGCTCCACGTCTGCAGGGGGATTTGGCTGTTCCAGAAGTCCCAGTATCCCACGTTTGCACAGGAATTTAGTCCGTGCAGAAGTCCCAGCAACTGTGTGCACATGAAAAATATCATTAGTATACAGGATCATAAACATTGTATCAATTGATCAACTAGAGCTCACATAATTGGGGTGTAAATTTCAGTATCATGTTCAGGGAAATAATTTGCTGAAGGCAGATCAGGGTACAAATGTGTTTCAAAATAAAGTGACATTTATTTGTTAAGAATTGCTAGCAATTTGCTCTTCTAAAACAAAGGACTACATTATTAGCGCTAAGCTAAATTGCCCAAGTTAGTAGCTAGAGGATGCCCTACCTTGTGCCACATACGAGAACCCAGACTCTAGGTGAGGGTCCAGCCTGGGCGGCTCAACCTGGAGCCTCTTTCAGCCAAAAATGACTATCACAAAATAATTTTTAATGCAAATGTGCAAACAAGACGGATCTCTTATGGGCAGGGCTCAGAAGGAGGCAAGGGAATATTTGTTTATCTGGTGGAGACAAATAGAGGCACCCTTCACACAGGCAGTCATCACAGTATTCAATTGATCTGCTCAGAGAAACCTCTACTTGAAACTCATGGATGCACCACAGGTGCATTTGCTGAAGGTATAATATAAAGTTAGTTCCACAGAGTGTTATTTGTAGTTAGTATACTCAAATTGTTAGAGATTCAAGGCAGAAGTACAATATTATATCTGNCTGTCTCTTATACACATCTAGATGTGTATAAGAGACAAAGGTAGGCCTTAGAGCGTTCTTCATAACCCTTAGGTCTGACATCATAACCCTTGGAGCTTTCAACATAACCCTTAGCTCGATCATCATAAGCTTTAAGGGGATCCATGTATCCCTTAGAGCGTTCATCGTAGCCCTTAGTGTGGTGGTCGTAGAATTCGTCGATGGTTGTCGTAGTTCTGTCGTAGTCGTCCCCAGCTCGGGAGGATCTCAGGACAACTTCATGGTTACGTAGGAACTCGTGCTGACCGCGCAAGTGCTTTGAGCGCCGAACTGTGAACGGTAACATTAATTAAAATTAACAATTATTAAAACAAATTTATATAATTATTATTTATTATTATATATTATATTATTTAATTATATTTAATCATCATTTATTATTAATAAATTTAAAATAATTTATTAATTAAAATAAAAACAGTAACAGTACTTAATGAAAATTTCTGTTTATTAGAACCAAGTCAACAGTAACATTAATTAAAATTAACATTTATTAAAATGAACAGTAACTGTAACATTGATGAGAATAACTATTTATTAAAATCTACAGTAACAATAACTTTAATGAAAATTAACATTTATTAAAATTGACAGTAACAGTAACATTAATTAAAAGTAACATTATTAAAATCAACAGTAACAGTGACATTAATTAAAATTAAAATTTATTAAAATCAACAATACTGGTAATATTAATAAAAATTAACATTTATTAAAATCAACAGTAACAGAACCATTAATGAAAATTAATATTTATTAAAATCAACAGTAACAGTACCATTAATGAAAATTAATATTTATTAAAATCAACAGTAACAGTAATATTAATGAAAAGTAACATTTATTAAAATCAACAGTAACAGTAACATCAATGAAGATTAACATTTATTAAAATCATTGCAACTATGGATTCCTAGCCATTGACTAGTCATAAATAAAATCAGTTGAATTGTTACATTTACGTCATCAATGTTCATTTTGATGCACGCTCAAATTCCTAACCTAATATCATTTTAATTTTATGGTAGATTCAGAAATAATAGAATGTAAAGAAAATTAAAGCTTGCTTACATCATGATTAAATACAAAAAAAACACTACAAATTCCCGCACATATTGGAAATATTTCTATGGTCTACGTGATCGTCAGAAAATTAGATCAGTACTCACTGCAGTGAGTGACTGAGTGAAGTCACAGACGGACTGACGGACATGACGAGCACAATAGCGCCTTTTTTTCCATAAATGCGAAAATGCACTAAAAATAATCAGTGGTCATCTAATAATCAAATCACAGATCATTTATCTAATAATAATTAAATGAATAGAGCATAAACTGCATATGAATTACGTATAACAAGTAACTTCACTTTTCTAACATAATTTTGAATTAACACAAGAAGCCTTACCTTTCTAAAATAATTATTTATTAACAAAAACCTCACCTTTCTCGCCAGAACTCCCCTGCTTGTGCAGAGCTTCGAAGACGTCTTTCTCCGTCCTGGGGTCAATGGGGGCAACCC